TGAGCAGGTCGCCGCAGAGGTCGACGCCGCCGCGCATGCAGAGTGGCCACAAGCCGGCCAGTGGCCGGAAGATGAGCCTGCTGATGAGGCTGCTGATGAGCAGTGGGCCGAGTGCCCTGATGAGGCCACTGATGAGCAGGTGGCAGAGTGGCCAGAAGAGGATGCTGGGCCTGAGCCTGAAAAGGCCTCTGATGAGGCCGATGATGAGCAGGCCGAGGCCGAGTGGCCTGATAAGGCCCATGATGAGCAGACCGAGGCCGAGTGGCCCGAAGAGCCCGCTGATGAGGCCAACTATGAGCAGGCCGAGGCTGAGTGGCCGGCTTCTGATGAGGCCGATGATGAGCAGGCCGAAGCTGCGTGGCCTGATGAGCCCGCTGTGCNNTGAAGCCGATGATGAGCCGGAGGAGTGGTGTGAGGAGGCTGATGAGCATTGGCCTGATGAGGCTGATGAGCACGCCGAGTGTCCGACAAAGGCCGTCCAGGAGGAGCCGAGTGGGGCTTTTGGTGAGGAGGCCGAGCGGTGTGAGCCGACTGATGAGCAGGCCACCGCGGCCGCCACAGGGGCCAACGACGCCACATGGCTGACATGGCCCAAGGCCCCGATATCTATTACGAATGCCCAAGAGTACCCGAGCCAAATGGACAAGGATCGACTCGACATCTTCTGGTCCAAGTACAAGACTAAGAAGGAGCTTCTACAATCGCACGTTTATGTAGCCTAAATATATGAACCCGGCCCCCACTCACAGCAAAAAAGTTGGACTGATTCACAGGATGCCACCGTGGAACACAAGACCCTCGATGCTGGGTTGCCGACTAGCCTCGAGGACGCCCTTTAGAGAAGTTTAAGCAAGTAGGATTCTGATTGTATGAGATTCGAGGCATTGGGGGTGTCCGTTCGAACTTTCCTCATGGACACAATTCAAGGAAAATAAATAATTGAAAATGTGCAGGTGAATATCACGAGCACACACAGTTTTAATTGTCTGTATGTGTATATCTGTAGACGTGTGTATATGTATAAACATGTATGCATGATACACGCAAGGAAAGATCCTACACATACTGTAATTGCACATAAGACACACGAAGAAACACAGAAGCAGCGAAATAAGCGAATTCATGACCGAAAGAAATGAGCCAACACGTATACATATATAGACAAAAACCGAAAAATAGATAATCCGAACTCATAGTCCCCACACGTCTCTCTCTCTCTCTATATATATATATATAAAGCTATTTTTAAATCTATGCATATACATAGACGTAGAAATAACCATGTCGACACCACACGTTGTGCGATCTTGCATATATATACATCTCGCAGGACATGGCTTGGCATCTTGGCCAAGCGACCACGGATGCAGAGCGACTTGAGCTGTGCAACAAGCTTATCGAT